ACTTTCACCCGCCCCCCCCCCCCCCCCCCCCCCCGCTACATACTTGCATAGCTCTGCCCTGTTTACATCTTGCTGTCTGGCCTCTTCCTCTTGATGTCCACATTTACTTAGTAGAAACCTATAGACTTCTATGGGGCCATCTCCTGCGTAGACCTGTGCATTTGTGGACACCAGGAAGAAGAGGCTGGCAGGCAGAATGTAAACATTGCAGTGGTCTGCAGCTGCAAGAACTAAGTCAGTATGATATTATCACTATACCGCTGCACATAGCCCATAGGGAGTAGCAGTTCACATTATGGGATTCTCGCACAGTTATTTTGCTTTATGACAGATCTCTATTACAAAGAGGGCTTATTGACTGCTGTGGTAATTTCAGAGACAGTGGCCCAGTAGGAGAAGTAGCCTAAGCACTAGGGGCCATTTAACACTAGCGATCCTTTTGCTGAGGAGGATTGGCCAATGATTGGATTGCTGAGGACTGCAGACAAAATACACTACATGGCAGGGGGAGAAACATATGGAAGTAGGTGAGTTTTGGTCCTGTCCTTCGCATCTGGATTACCATAGAAAGCTATACCCCCTCAGTTTGATGTGCATGTGATGCCCGCCATGTATGTATTGATCCAGTCGGTCAAAGATTTTATTGTTTTGTAATTATGATTGAGTCTAGAAAGATATTTTTTTTTCATTGCAAGTTATTGGATTGATGCAAATTAATTTGCTTTTTGTGATGCATCCAGCAATCATTTAAGCAACCCAGTCCATTAAAAGGATCATACTGAATAGTCTTTTTGCATGGAAAATCAATGCATGTGTGGCCGGCACTAGATGCAGGAATCATAGGCATCGTCTGGAGGCCATAGGCTTCCAAGCTGATCTCCGGGCAGTACAAATGTTACATAGAAAGAAAGCTCCTTTGTGAGCATGTCTCTAAAAGGTTTTGTTCTCAATACTTTGGGTTTCTACCGTTAAAGGACAATCTGCAGGGCACCTGCATGTCTTCCTGCTTTCATACGCATGCCCTGAAAGGCAACAATTTTGCTACAAGAGTCTGTGGTTGCAGCTCTTGGAAAGCAGTGGTTGTGCTTTGGGCAGTGCAGGGAGCAAAGAACTCCCCTGTCACCAATGAGGCATCTGTGTGAGTTGGAGTAGAACATACTGCAAGTTCACTCCACAGATGCCTCGCACTGTGCTGTAAGTTCCCTGAACTCCTAGGCAAATGGAGAGGAGAGCAGGGCATAGCTGGGTGGGGAGAACCTGAGTAAAACTCTACTAGTAGCAGATGGGAGCCTCCTGCTGCAGACAGTGCTGACTAAATGATGCCAGCGCTGTCTGCATAGAACTACGAGGACTAGTTCTAGAGTCGGTAGAGCCAGTCCCTGGAGCCGGTAGAAGCAGTCTGTATTTAATCAAGTGCAACCTTTGATGAAAGGGTGTTGGACACTGGGACATGCTTTTGGAAAATACATGGCAAGATGAAGCCCAAATGCAGTCTCCTCTTTATAGTGTCTGACTTGTGCTTGTAGGTGCGTCAAAACTACCTTTTTCTTTTAGTAGAAATGCTGCTATCTGTCCTCACATTGCAGTGTTCTGTGCTGCCATAGCGGAGCAACAGTCGCACCCCTTAGCAGTATCCACTCATAGATTTGTATTGCAGAGAAGGGAAGAGGGCATGTCTGACCAGACCCATGCTGGTGCCTATTACACTGCACAATTATATTTAGACACCCTGCCCAACTGCTGTGATAGGGGGTTGTTAGTACAATGTCTATCAGACTGCATATTTATTTCTGTGACTTCTGCTGGGATTTTGCGATAAGGTGACCTTGCAGATACAGGAATATACAGTATACCATCTTTTGTGCCCAGAGTTCAGCTTTAAAATAATTAATTGGTTGCAGTTACCAGCAGCTTTTATTAAAGGGATTCTCTTACAGCCAAGGGAGTTTGCTTGGCTGCCACTGGCAGGGCTGTGTTCAGAGCAGAGCACAGCAGCATAATAGATGTTGATGTGCTTATCTTTGAATTAGCATCTCTTCTGGGAGTCCAAAAGCAACATTCTCCAACACAAGTTATGGTTCTGTCGGGTATCAGCTGTTGAGTTGTGGGAGACATTTTATTAATGCCCCACAATGACTTCCACCGTGCCAGCTAGGCCTCAAGTGCCAGAGACCTGGCAGGCCGACAAAGCCATTGGATGTATTTTAAGCTGGGGTTGTAAATTTAATCTGTGCTAAAGTAGCAATTATTAAAAAAAGAAAAAAAAAATCCTAGTCAACATTCTTTTAATCGGAACATTCACATTCTACAGCACAGGTTGGCTACCTGTTTTTTCCCCAGGCGGTGTGGCACTGTAAATCCCGGCGTACACTGAGATCCTGTGGCTGGAAATTAAGTTGCCACACCAGCAGTCGTAGACTTTATTGCCGTCAACCTGTCTTACAGTGTAGCTAGGAATGATTCTCTCTTCCCCCCCTCCCCCAGCGTCGCTGAGATCGAAACAGCAGGAACCTCTCAGGATGGAATAATCTGGCCTCATTAAACATTAATGCCTCTATAGCAGAATATTTGCTCATCGGAATCATTAACCCCCTGTCGGCAAATTTGAAATGCCCTTGGTGCTCTTAAGGCTCGTTCCCGAGGTGGGTAACGTTGTTAGTCATCTCCATCACTTCATGTTCTACTAGCACCTGACCACCTTCTGTGGTCATCTGTCTCATTCTCAGGTTGAGTGAGCCATATTTTGTCCTGGGCCCTCTGGCCACGCTGAATTTCCTCCGGCGATAGAGCTCCCCTTTACAAATGGAGATCATGAGTAGGATGGAAAGGAGGGTGCCCCCCAACGTGAGCAGGCCCAGACCTGCGATGATGCACTTGTCGAGGTTGGCGCCCAGACGTGCATAGTAGAGTTCTAGTCGTTCCATCTCGCGGGCAGACACAGAATCAGGGCTCACCCGCACCTCCCGCGGTATGGTATAGGCTATGGCCACCAGAATGATGCCACTAACCAGCAGCACTAAGGAACAGATGAAACCGTAATCCACAGAGTGGCTTGCCGGCTCAGGTTCTCGACTGTCTTCGGAGTGAGGAGATACGTTCTCCTTCCCCCATCCCCTCACCTCCGATGCAGGACTCGACTGCAAGGCATCACGTGACTCTTGGCTGAAACTGGTCTCCCCGAGCTCCTCATAGGATGGGTTCTCAAAACCTCTGACAGTACCTGAGTGCTCCGGGCGAGCCTGGCCATCTGCACTGTGTCTTCTGCTGATGTCGCTTAGCTCCAAAGAGTGAGGAGAAGCCATTGACCGAAGGTGGTCCTGCTCATCCTGGGCTCACAAGATTGCATCAGACGACAGCTGAGAGAGGAAAAGTAGAAAATACTTTGTGAGTGACCATGTTCTGCTACAAATGGTAAGTGCCCATAAATGTCACCACCGGCCTCGCCTCTGTGTACTTTGCAATACAGTAAACAATGTAATATATTGATTATGACATGGACTGGTATGATTCATAGAGCACCAGTGTCTTGTAAGTGGAAACTTTTTTTTTAGTATTGTATAGAAGGGTGAAGAGTTAGAAACTCTGTTTTTATTGCTCTCTGTGGATCCACTGTGAAGATTGTCACCTCCTGTGTGATCACTGGTATGGAGAGCAATATTAACCTGATAAGTTCTAACCTAAGTATGTGGTCATCAGCACAAGTTGGTTGTCCAAAGCTGTTTTAATGATCCCATATATGTGACATTTCGGATTTGCTAAGAAAGCTTCATCAAGTACAATTTTTTGTTTTTTTTCTTGATGAAGAAGCTCGTTAGCAGCTCCAAAATGTGGCCTTCACGTGATCATCGGTCATTTCAGCACGACAACTCAGATGACCATATTGCTGTAAGGAAGTGCAACTGCAAACTTTACATTTGAAGATGTTTTAATCCTTCCCCACTCTATTCACACCTTTAAATTATTACCACACACACACACACACAATAGGATGCCTGGCAGGGACAGGGGGATCCTGCCTGTAATACACTATAGTGGCTGCAGCTACTACAGTATATTGCAGCGGCTTCTGGGTCCATAGTTTGGACTGTCATTGCAGATAAACGCAACATACATAAATAGGAGAAGCTTTAGAAAAAGGAACTTTATTTAAAGGAGCTTCTAGTTTAAAAGAACTATTATCTGAATCTACTGAATACACTTGTTGAATATATTGTTTGCCTGGAGATGGCCTTTAAAGTGCACAATAGAATTCCCCAGCCCTCTCCCTCACTTACAAGGGTGGGGGGTATATTTAGATCAAGCCTAGCCGCAAGTCAATCATCTGCCAAATGGCAGAATGTCATTGGGCAGTACAAGCTATAGCATTTAATAGTTTATTGTCTTGGTACTTGGGGGGGGGCAGGACTAAATGTCAGCCATGGCAAAGGTTGAGGCCTCATGTCTCTAGGATCCAAGGAGGCTCCTTTCTGCATCACTGACCACAGAGCACGCACGCACGTTAAAGTGTCAACTAATAGTATTAACTCCTGGTCTGCATACTTGTTCCAGGGCAGTAACTAATAAAACCATCAGATAAGAATGACCCCAGCCATCTAGCCTTTTTAAGAGGAGATGCATCAGTAATAACTACCACACTTCGTTCAGTAGAAGTTTGGGCAGTAAAAACTAACATTTGATAGTTGACTGGCCTAGTACTAGGAAGGGCAGGGCTAAATGTCAGCATTGAGACCCCAGGTACAGCCTGGCATTACTATCCAAGCAGGTTCCTTTCTAAGGTCGTTGACCCGAAAGTAAGTGTGCACATTACAGAGTCACCTAATAGTGATAACTCCTGGTCTGCACGCTTGTTCCAGAGCAGCAACTAATAAAACCATTGGATCAGCATGACCCGGGCATCTACCATTTTCAAAAGGAGTGGTATCAATGACAACTACCGTACTTCTTTCAGTACAGGTTGGGGCAGTAAAAGCTCTAGCATTTGATGGCTATTTGGCTTGGTATTTGGAGAGGCAGAGATAGCTCTCAGCAATCACAAACAATGAGACCCCATGGACAGCCTAGCCCTATGCTCCAAGATAGCTCCTTTTATGAGTTGCTGACCCCTGGGCAAGCATGCACGTTAAAGTGTCAACTAATAGTAATAGCTCCTGGTCTCCATACTTGTTCCAGGGCAGCAACTAATAAAACCATTGGGTAAGAATAATTCCAGGCAGCTAGCATTTTCAAGAGGAAAGGCGTCAATGGCAACAAACTACCATACTTTTAGTACAAATTTGGGCGGTCAAGGATCTAGCATTTGATACCAGGCCTAGTACAAGGAGGAGCAGGGCCAACTTGAAGGGGCAAGGCTAACTGTCAGCGTTTGTAAACATTGAGGCCCCGTGTACAGCTTGGCCCTAGGATCCAAGGGGACTCCTTTCTGCATCGCTGACCCCAGAGCAAGCATGCTCGTTAAAGAGTCAACTAATAGTGATAACTCCTGATCTGCATACTTGTTCCAGGGCAGCAACTAATAACACTATTGGATAATTTAAAAAAAAGACCCCGGGCAGCCAGTATTTTCAAGAGGAGAGGCCTCAATGGCAACTACCCTACTTCCTTAAGTACAGGTTTGGCTAGTAAAAGTTTTAGCATTTGATAGATGATTGACTTTGGTACATAGAGGGGCAAGGTTATATATCAGCATAGGTAAACATTTAGGGCCCATGTACAGCCTGGCCCTAGGATCCAAGGGGGCTCCCAAAGCAAGCATGTTTATTAAAGTTCAACTAATAGTGATAAATCCTGATCTGCATAATTGTTCCAGGGCAGTAACTCATAAAACCATTGGGTAAGAATAATTCCAGGCACCTAGCATTTCCAAGAGGTAAGGTGTTAATGGCAGCTACCATACTTTCTTCAGTACAGGTTTGGCCAGTAAAAGTTTTAGCATTTGATAGATTATTATTATAATACAGGATTTATATAGCGCCAATAGTTTGCGCAGCGCTTTACAATATAAGGAAGACATTACAGTCTCAATACAATTTAAGACAAGATGGTAAGGAGGGCCCTGCCCCTGAGGGCTTACAATCTGAAAATAGATGATTGGCTTGTTATTTGGAGGGGCAAGGTTAAATATCAGCATTGGTAAACATTGAGGCTCCATGTACAGCCTGGCCCTGGGATCCAAGGGGGCTCTCATAGCAATCATGCTAACAGTGATAAATCCTAATCTGCATACTTGTTCCAGGGCAGCAACTTATAATGCCTTTGGATAAGAGAGACCACAAGCAGCTAGCATTTCCAAGAGGCAAGGTGTCAATGGCAACTACCATACATCCTTCAATACAGGTTTGGGCAGTACAAACTCTAGCATTTGATAGATGATTGACTTGGTACAGGTTTTCAATGAAAGGCAGACATCTGAACGGAAAATTTAATGATCACGGATGCAGTCACAGTGTAACTAACCAGGGCAGTTTCATTGTTCATCAGCTCCAAGCAGTGAAAGAATTAATGCTGATTGCCTATGGATCTTTACCATTACCAATATGTCATGTATGTTATATCTAAATCCTCAGCAATCATCTTTCATTAATGTAAATGCACTAAGCTGCAGAATGCCGGCCGCTGATTGGCTGCTGTCATTAAGCCTTCATTAGTCTCCCCATTAAACTGGCAGGAGCCTCGCAGAGCAGGGACGTCAGGACTCAGCCGGAGCTGTCCATTCAGCACCACCAGGGCTATCCAGCACTACCTACTGACAGTACAACAATGACATCCTCAGCCACACACACCACTACACAAAGCATGGACACTGCAAGCGCACACACACACACACACACAATCACACAAGCAGCAAGGCAAGAAAACAATGTCCATCATCATGGATTTTAAGTAGCAGGATGAGGCACACATGCAAATTGTGCAGCAGCTCCGAGCAACCTGTCACCTTACATGACATATTGCAAGCTGAAGTCAGAGCCGCTGCTGCTGCACAACAATCCACACTCATTGCAAATGATGGTGATGACGATGAAGCATTGCTGTAGTAATACATACAAACAATCACTACACATAATACACCAGAAAGCATAGATGACATCAGCCAGTCCCTGTGGCACCTCTCCACCCTGCTGGGTGCTCCAACCTGACAACACACAGCAATCAATGCAGCCAAGCTGATGAAATGGGTAGGGGGGGGACTACAGGTCTCAGCGTGTCCGTTGCATTATGTACCCCCCCCTAAACAATTGAAAGGCCAGCTGCTACATTCAACATCGTGCAACACATTGCCAACCCAAGCTTGTGTGCATGACTCACCCAGACACCCACACAAAGGGGGACGTGCAAAGCAGCGACTGCATACAATTGGACACACAAACCCATCACCCTACCAGTCCTGTTGCAGTTACTGGAATGTGGCAGGCACAGAAGTTGCGTTCTTTTAGTAAATCTCCACCCTCAGTAATGGACAGACCGAGCTGGGCACCCACAAACGTGTGTTGCTGTCGCGCCCGCTTAACCAGACGGCTGGTGTAGGATGGCACAGGACTCCATCGAGGACCATGTGGGAGGAGACTGGTCTCGCAGCGCCACCTGCTGGCCGATGTGAGCAAAGCGTGTCACTGTGTCCTTAGTGGGAATCGCCATTTTTAAATCCCACCACAAGTGGACATTTAAAGGGGACAGTAGGCTTCGCAGGGGCTGCTTTCTCATCAGCCCAGGGGCAACAAGTGCACCAGCCAGCTTTCATGTCTCGGTTTGTTTCTGCATTGTCACCAGATGCCACCATATGCCCTTAAGGTGGGCCCATGCTTCAAGTGTCAGCTGGTGACATTCGGGAGGCTTGCAGCTGGCACAGTAGGACCCATCTTACTATGGAGATGCCCCTGGAACCCGCCCTGTCCTGGCTCAGGAGGGAGCTGGTAAGAACTGGTAAATTGATGGTGATGACACAATTGTCTTATCATGATGCAGTCACATATCAAGGTTACACACCCATCCTCTTCTTGCACACAACAGCTAGCACTGGGGAGGGAGGGGAACAGACAAACCAACAGGAGGGAGAGGAGATCCACGTCTGACACAGGCAAGAAAAGGGGGTGTGACAGACCTCACCTATGAGGAGGGGGTGACCAAAGTGGTCATGGGAATGATAAATACAAAAGAGGGACAATGCTAGAGTATTTTGTAAACCTTAAAGGGAAATGCCACCTTTTTAAAAATAAATAGCTGCACGCTTCATCATAATAGAAAAAAATGTGCATTTATTATTTTTTGTTTGCATAGGAGCCACTAAAGCATTGCTACCCGATCAGTGGATTGTGGGTGCAATGCTCTGGCTGTTGAAGACTCTTCCTGCCATAGGTGTAACGTGAAACATGGTCAGAAAGGTAACTTTGCCTTTAAGGCCAACTCCACCCCAAAACTGACACTGGTGTCACCTACTGGATTTTTTAAAATCTATTGGTCACCCCAGCATAGATAATGTTTCATAATAGTGTGGGTGCCTGACACCACTCCATCATCATGGATATAATTAACCTGAAAGCATTTAGTTTTGTAGGGGCAATAGGACTGGACAGGGATGGCAGTCGGATAGAGTAGGGAAGGGTTAGACCAGGGGTGGGCAAATTTGACCCTCTAGCTGTCGTGCAACTACCATCATGCATCTGTCTCATGGAGCCATGCCTGTGGCTGGGAAATATTTTACAATACCTCATGAAATTTGTCGTTGCACAACAGCTGGAGGGACAGAGTTTGCCCACCCCGGGGTTATTGGGTTTTTATTGCTGTCTATGTCCCCCCCAGGGAGATTCGCCCCTCTATTTATGCTGGGGAAATTTTGAGTTTCCATCAGTGAGGGAATATCCTCCAGAGGGCACACCTGTTCCTGTGACAACAGGTGTGGAGAATTCTGTTCACTTTGGAATTCCTTCTCATTTCCTCTTGCGTCTCCAGGACAGGAAGTGAAGTGAAATCTCTCCAGCTGGACACAGGCAGCACAAAAAAAACCACTTGATAGTGTTTTTTTAATCCCTCCCTGCTAAAATAGCAAAGACAACTTTTTTTTGTATTCTTTCCCATAGTCTGAGATGCGCCAGCAGGATCAGAGGTTGATGGCTCAACTGAACGACCTTCATTCCCGGATTCGGGAACACAGGCTGGAAGCTGCATTCTGGGCTAGCAGACACCCCATTCAGGAGTCACAGCCGGTGAGAGGGCGCTCCACATCGGAGGATATGGGCACCGCGGCTCATAAAGATGGCGACTCTCCAACTGCTTTACAAATTTCTCTTCGGAGGAATTCTGCACCCTAATACGTCGCTTACAGGCAGCTTGCCAACCTGACGTGAGCTGAGTCAAGACTGTATTTGAACTCAATACATCACCCAATGGGGACCTGATTGAGGACCTTTTGGAGGGTTTGAGGGAAACTCCATGGAATCCAACGCTAAAAATCTAAGGGCTGGTGTAGAAGAAAAGATAAAGCAAGACAACCTGCGACCCTCTTCTATGATATTTGGAAGTAAAATGATGATGTCTGTGGCAATATGGCACTATCAGGGCCTGCGTTGATGGAATCAGTCTAAGCCTTCAGAATTAATTGACAGGTGCATTTGACCTGCAGCTGACATACTTCTGACCTGCTTTAAGCACGTTTTGCATCCCCATGGACTTGCAGAAGAATGCAAAATCAACTTGAAGCGAGCAAAAGCCCGCCGATCCAGGCCCTTAAGTATTATTTGTGTGTAAATCCAATGAAATTACCTAGATTGGGGTAGGCAACCTTTGCACTCCCGCTGTGGTGAAACTACAGAGCCTCTAGGAGTCATGTCTGTGGCTATTCAAAATCTTCCCAGCGCAAATGAATCACATCAAGCCCTCCTCTTTAATTGATTCCACCTGATCACACTGGGGCAGCTCCACAAGGCAGGGAACCTTAAGGCTGGGCACCCACCTTACAACCATCGCAAGACTTTTGTCTTGCAATGGTTGTAAGGTACTTAAAAAAAAGGTACGATCTGCCTATCTTGCATAGGCAGATCTTACTTGCGATGATCGTAAGCCACGCCCCCTGAGGGGCGGGCTTCCAATGACCGCAATGCCGAACGGGCAGTGTGCGCTTGCGCACACCGGCCTGTCCGGCTTTTATCTTACGAACATGCCACAAACCCGCCGAACATCGTACGATGCTCGGCGGGTTTGCAAACATGTTCGTAAGTTTAAAGTCGTGCGACCTTACAGTAGTAGAGGTCGCACGGCTTCCACACACCTTAGGATAATAGTACGATCGCGGGATTTCCCGCGATTATCGTACGATTATCGTAAGGTGTGTGGGGACCTTAACATCTATAGAATGACAAAAAAGGAAAACCCTTGCCACTCGCTGCTGAAAGACAACTTTGGTCGTGAGCTGACTTGGCTGTGCTGTGGCTTCTGATGGGCCTTCTGTGAGGGGAACCATTGAATACGCTTGTGTCACTTTTCTCTTGTGAGTACATTACCATTTTTTAAAAGCAAATTATTAAACGATCCTTCACATGTCATGTCTGTGGCTGGTAGAGTCTTTCAATGCATCTTGGGACTTGTAGTTCAGCTGGAGTACCAAGGTTGCCTGACCTAGATACCTGACCACTTCACCGAAGGCATTATAGCAATAATGGTTGTTAGGATTGCTGACAATGGATCAACCAGCTATGAAAAGACGTGATGGTACATTTTCATTCCAAACATATCCTTGCTCTTCAATGCCTTTATTGTATTGAATAAAACAGTGTTATCTTATTGCTTATCCTTTACTCTGGAGTTGTGTCTTTTTAATATACTGTATAGGTGTCAAAGTGTGAAATTCAGCTTGTGTCAGCTGATGCAAGGCACTTGATGAACTCAAAGCTTGATGAAGACCTTTCTAGAACGTTGCTCCGTGTTGGATGCTGCAGCTCAGTTTCCTTGAACCAGCCTGGGTTCTCTAGGTATGCCGTATTTTTATTACCTTCCTGCAACTTACTAATCACATGACATGAATGACACTAATCACACGTATGTACTTGAGCATCTAGAAGCGAAACAATCAGAATTTTGACCAGAAGAGGGACAGCACCTGAGTGGCAGATTGCAGGAAATCTGGTGAGGGCAAAATATGTCAGATTTTATGAGCAATGAGGACAAGAACAACGTCAGCTAATGGGGCTTAAAGGAGAACTATGAGGTAAGTGATTTACGCTCATCCTCATAGTTAGAGCCGACGTGTGACAAAGAAGCTGTCACATGTCGGCTCTATAGATCGGGAAGTGAGCGAACACATAACTTCGCTCGCTCACTTCCCAATCCTCTCCCTGCAGAGAGCGGTAACTATCAGTCACGGCTCCCTGCAGGGATTCCCCCCTCCCCGCTCTGATCCTCCAACGCTGACTGGAGGAAGAGACAGGGAGGGGGTCGGGCAGAGCTGACTCTGCCTCTACATAGGCAGAGCCCGATGTCAATCAACCAGCTGGATGTATCTCGACAGTATTGTAGGGATCCATCCCGGCTGCGGCGCTCTCAGTATATAGTTGGCAATAACCCGCTATATACTGAGCTTTGGGTCACCGGAGGTTAGTATATGTCCTCCCGTGACCCTAAAGAGAACTAAGGGATAAAAAGGTTACCCCCATAGTTCTCTTTTAGGGCCCATTCACACCACATCCAGACCAGATTGTTTCCGGACCCACAATGCATCCTAATGTATCCCTATGCTATTTCTGGCCTCTGTTCACACCAGCGCAGTCCGTTCCAGACCAGCAAAATTTCGTCTGGTCTGGAATGCACTGGAACTGCGGCAGGTTCACACCATTTGTCGGACCAGATCTGGTACGGAAAATGGTGTGAACCTGCCCTTAAACTTACAGGGTAGGGTTAGTTATACTTCGGCCATCATGCCTCCGGGAGTCAAGCCTGTGGCTGGCAGTGCCTTATTGGACTTGTAATTCCACGACTGCTGGAGTGCCAAGGTTGCCTACCCCTGGGCTAGGTTCACACTTGAGAAATGTTTGGCTACCCCTGTTATAGGGTAATCCAGGGGTGGGCAAGTCTGGTCCTCAAGCTGTTGTGGAACTACAAGTCCCATGAGGCATTGCAAGACTGACCATTACAGGCATGACTCCCGGAGGCAGCAGCATGTTGGGATTTGTAGTTAAGGAGGACCAAAGTTGCCCACCCCTGGGGTAATCATTCCTATGGGATTAGAGGAGACCAAGCTTACCTGCGAGCATGCTGCCTTGGTTGTGCCAGGAAACTAATGTGGTTTTTATTTTGCCTGTGTTCCTGTTGGGAGAGATTTCGCATGACTTCCGGTTTCCACAACAATAACAACTTGATAGTGAATGACTCCAACCCTTCCTTAATGTTCACCAAAACAAAATGCTTCTACTGGATCTGGCCTTTTAAATCCCAATCAGCAGTGCAAACTCCCATCAGACACTTCCTTTAAAGTGCACTGACAAAAGTAATCTCTTGACATGGGTGCAACGAACCTTTCCATGCCTCCAAAATACTCGCTGAACATGAATGTCTTCAGATTAGTTACAAGTTACTGTTTTTCATTTAAAAAAAAATGCCAATGTGTACTCAGTTTAAAGGTCTCGAGAGCTTGCCAAAGCTGAAGGAGGAAGCTCAATGGGGAGCCGTGTTTTCCAAGACACAGCTGACTTCCTCGCTATCTCACACCAGAATACTGACAGCTGACACTGGGAAGTCTCCATTACCCCCAAAGTTGCAGCTTTTATGGAACAAGCTGCACACCAGTACGTCAACGTCCGCAGTCTGCAGGTAGGGCCTCACTCTTCCCTGTGTGGTGGTGGCGTCTGTTAATGAAGTGACGTCTTTGTTTACATTGGCTGTTCATGGCTTCCATGATATACCTGGAAATGTATAAAAGTGAACAAAGTGAAAGGAATCTATTTTGATCTACAACTTCCTCTTTATAAAAAGTATATACATCGTATCGGATGAACTCGCATCCAATGGGAACTGGAGGGGGTGCTTAGTGATATTTTAAAGGGCTTGCGTGAACTATGTAAAGAGGACCTGTCATGAAGGAAACAAGGAGGCGGCCTCTAGGATGCTAGCTTCATGGCTGTCATGCTGACTCTTGGTTCAGGGTTATGAGCAGTGAAGAATAGTGATGGGCTCGGGCGTGTTCGTAGCTCCAGGTGCCGAACCCGCTAGGAAGCTGACAGTACCGCAGGGCCAATCACAGGTACTGAGGCATTATCCCGGTCCGCAGCTGCAGAGATCGGGAAATGTTTCCGTGCCTGTGATTGGCGCTGCCAGCTTCCTGGCGGGCTCGGCACGTGGAGCTGCGAACACGACCGAGCCCAACACTAGTGATGAAGCCGGGTTTGATGTAAACCCTGTTTGCCCAACTCTGACCGCCACCCCGGCCCCCACCTGACCCAATCCGCTGTAGCAGGGGCATTCCCCGCCCCTTTGTGGCATATAGCTGCGGGTAGCCAAATGCGTCTCTTCTCAACTGATTGGGTCGGGAGGGGGTGGCAGTCAGACTTTTGAGTGGGCTTAGGTGAACTCAGGCGAACTGGATTTGTACCAAGCCCAGACTCTTCTCTCATTATGAGCCTCTTAGTCCCTGTTTACACCTTTTGCATCCTGTGCGTTTGCATGCATTTTTCCCCGCCCCCGCATTGCTCACTGATTTCATTGTGAACCACACACGCAATAAACATGGGAACTTAGCTCATGTAGCAGATATTGCTGCAGATAGACCGTGTTTTTTCCAGCACGCATTTCCGCGGGGAAAGCAACACGCATTATCCCAGTTGTGTTTTGGGTGATGCGAAGATGTAAACGGGGACTTGGTCAGATCCAATTATTTTTCTGCCTTTGTGCAGCTGCATTCTTTTTCCAGCTCAGTGATCAATGACAGCAAAGGTCAGCCTACCAGCCCTGCACTGCAAGGGTTAAATGCTTTTTTAGACCTAGAGCAGGGGGTAGCCCTATTCCAGCCCTCCAGCTTTGGTGAAACTAGAAGTCCCATCATTCATCTGTCTCCGGGAGTCATGCCTGTGGCTGTCAGTGTTGCAATGCCTCATGGGACTTTAGTGCTGTCGCAGCTGGACGGCCGGTGTTTGGCTACCTTTGGTCCAGAGCAGGGGTGAGCAACTCTTGTCCTCCAGCTGTGCTTTACCTACAAATCCCATCATGCATTTGCCTCTGGGAGTCATGCCTGTGGCTGTCAGAATCTTGCAATCCCTCATGGGACTTGTAGTTTCACAACAGCTGCAGGGGTCGCAGTTGCCCACCCCTGGTCTGAGATGTAGGCTAAAAGCTGTTTTACGTACCATATACCTGTTCCTCGGGCAGTCAGCATGCTTCTCTTCTGTGGACTGTCCCTCTGCGTCTTCACATACAATTCAGAGCTATAGAATTTGCATTGTACTTGATGATGTCAGCAGCCTGTAGACCTTCGGAGCAGAGGGGGAGATAAGGCTGCATCTGCCTCTGAGAGTCATGCCTGTGGCTGTTAGAGTCTTGCAATGCCTCATGGGACTTGTAGTTCCACAACAGCTGGAGTGCGGAGGTTACCCACCCCAATCTACACAGCTGAATCCCAGAAGGCTGTCTGCCAATTAGATATATTGATTGAGAAAAGTTACCTCTGCGCAGAGAATACTCGCCTCTCCTCCCGCTGATCTCTGCAATAAATTGTCTTAAAATATTTTTTTTTTTTGTAAGAATTTTAGCATCTGACACTTCTTGAAGTGTCAGATTTCCTATCCCACCTCTACGCTTTATGGTTCCTTCCACTGGCCCCTAGTGACATGTTGGTCGCAGATCAAACCATGGAGTGCAGCGGGGAACTTCTATAAGTCTCAGATTGTGAAGATTCTTCAGGCAGCATTTAATTTACTGCTGAGACCGGCAACAAGAGGGGGGGGG